TTGGCCATGAGTGACCACAGGCTCTCGTCCCCACTGGAGTCTCTCGATGGGGAGCCTGGAGGACACCCATTGGAGACAGGTATGTCCTCTGAGGTAGAATTCAGCATTTCTAGTTCCCTGATTAAATCCTGCTTGTACTGCTCCGCCTCCTCCTCGGAGAACAGGGAGGCTTTGTAACGAGGGTCCAACAGTGTAGCAAAGATGTACCTGGGGTCGTGGAGGGTGGCGGACAGTCGGCTCACCATGGCTTCCTTCAGAGACTTCAGCATGGTGTCGATGCCCATGGTCTCCTCAAACAGCATCTCGATTTTTCTGTTCAGAATGTGGATCATGGGGATGACCTGGCTGAGGGTAGACATGTGGCTGCTCATCTCCCGACTCGCAGCATCAAAGGGCTTCAGCGCATGACACACAGACTTCATGACCTCCCACTGGTCGCAACTGATCAGTTCTCTGAAATTACACTCGATGGACATCTCGTTAATTGCTCTCTTCTGCTCAATGAGCCGTTCGAGCATATGAAACGACGTGTTCCATTTGGACGGGACGTCCTGAATAAGGTGGTGGGGCGGCAATTCATACTCCTTCTGCAGCTCTGCCAGTTTCTCTTTTGCTGCATGTGAGCGAAGCACGCGCTCACATAGCTTCCGAGCAATGCTGAGTAAATTCTGCACCATTCTCTGGCTCTTAATGGCCTCGTTGACAATGAGGTTCACCGTGTGACTGAAGCACTGCACGCTGGAGTGCTCCCCTTCATTCAGCGTCTTTCCTATGCTGGGATTGTCAGTCACTGTAATGCCAACCTGAAGGCCAGTGGATGTCACCCATGCCTCCCACCAACATTCCAGCTGCTTCTGAATGCTGTTGCCGCTATAGTCGCAGTCAATCTGTGACACGTCTAACAGTGCTGAGCAGTGGTGATCCTCACAGTGAGGTCGGACCGAAGACTCGAAGGTGACCCAGTGAGCAGTGAGTGTCAGGTACTCCCGGGTCTGGTTACTCATCCATATTCCAGATGTGAAGTGGACCACACCACTCTCAGCTTCCTTAAGGTGTGACATAATGATTTGTTTCACATTATCGTACATTCCGGGGATAGCTGTCCTGGAAAAGTAGGAAGGGGA